GTGTCTTTGCGTGCCCGAATATTTGTCTAAGTTTTTCAAGTCAACAATCAGAAAAGCTAGAAAGCTGAAATTTTAGTAGAGTTTTTCATGCGTTGATCCGGCATCGCCAATTTAAAATCAGCTTCATCGTATGTCTACATCTCACATACGTGTATGTGGAAGTTTTGGCTAAAAATTTTCTAGTTCGTAAAACAGACAAGATAATAATCTGGAATTTTAGGAGGATATTTCTTATTCATTTGCGGCTCTGGGAATAGATCCTCAGTTTTCATGTATAAGTCTTACATACGAGCATGCGAGTTCAGAAATCCAGACAAAATAGAAAGCAGAAATTGTATGGCGATATTTTATGCCTATGCGGAGCCTCAAAAATTTAAATTCATCCGTAATGCAAATCTACATTCTACGTGCGGATTCGTTAAAGTTCAGGCCCGGATTCCGCCTCGGAAACTCGACAGGCCAGGTCGCTGAAATTTTAGGAGTACTTTTCATGTCTATGCGCAGCAGTAAGTGCTTATACCGGCGATTGTCCGTCGGCCAGAAATGCACAAACCCCATATTCGTACTAACAACCTGGAGCGTGCCGCTATCTATATTTCTTACCATCAGCTAGACATGTGCAATTTTTGCAGGGCGAAATGTGCACCAAATCAGTATTTGTAATTTTCTACAAGGGTGACCGCCTGAGGATCATCGTCGAAAAAGTTTGCGAAGGATTCAAAGCAAAACTGTATAATAGCTGCCCAAAGAACAGCAAAGTTTGCTAGTTTCTTTGCAACTTTCCGAAAATTTTTCTTTCACACAACTCTGATAAGTAACTGAAAAGCCTTGAGTAATTACAGAGGATAAGAAAATACTGATATTTTTAAAAGACTTTGAAGAACATGAAGGCGGTGAAGAAGGAGTACAGTAATGCATACATAAAAAGTGGATCCGAAAGTCAGATAAAATGAGTTATTTAACTGTCTGTTGGCTTAAGTTTTATAAAAACTAACAGATTATCAGTGGACTTTTCCAGGACCGACATGCTGCGGCACGTGACGTAAAAGCGCGTATATCAGACATGCATACCGTGCTGGGTCAAACCCAAGAGCACAGGCATAAAGTACTTCAAGCTGCTTCAACTTCACTCACGCAGTGGAAAAAACAGGTTTCCGACTAAAGATAAATTTAAATTTCATACGTTTACAAAGCTTGTGTGTCCAATGCAATCAGCCTTCGACTACCATAAATATATCTGCAGGTTCGTATGCAAAAGTCAGTGTATCACACTTTAAATCTCTTCACTTTCGATGCTATTGGGAAATTTTTCATTGCGGAATGTTGGGTACCTTATGCCGACCTTGAAAATGTCCGGCTGGCTCTCGAAAAAGGAGTGGTATGTATAACTTTTCTAGTTTTAATAGCAGAAAAAGTGAAGATGCTCGGAGAGGAAAGGAAGGAAACCCAATGTTCAGGCTTTTAAACGGTATTTGGTGATGTGGTTCGTGTGATACTTTCAGCGCGTGACTGTACAGCTGCGTGAATTGATGCCGCCAATCAAGGCAGTGTACTACAGTTTATCAAAAATAAGAGAGCCTAGAAAGGACAATTTCTTTGAAACACTTGAGACTGCTCGAAAATGGGTTTCAATTTTAATGTCAGAATCTCCAGTGCTCATTTTGGTACTTTCGACAGCCTTCGCCCCTGCCTTTATGAAATATGCAAGCTGATCGATTCTTATTTCTGTTTCAAAATGATATGGGATTTTTTCTTTTGGCAAAAAGTATAAGCATAAGCATGGATGTCGAATGCAGGAAAAAAGTGGAAGCAGTGTAAAGCCAGTGCTGAATTTGTTGGAGACCGCGGAAGAGCCGCCCACGTACAATCGCGTCAACAAATTTACGACAGTTTTTCAAGGAATTGTTGATTCGTATGGTATCGCCTCTTATTTGGAAATTAATCCAGGTCAGACAAAAATTTTAAAAATTTGCGTATAGCAAAGACCAGCTAACTAGAATTTTCCGCATTATGCATTTTTGCATATTCATGCAAATGCAACCCAGGCTGGAACGCACCAGGCGAGCCGGTGCGATCATGCGTTTTTGCATCAA